TCGAGGTATCCAAGTGAAGGCTTTCACCTCTACTGGTACTCACATAATATTTTTCTTTTGCAGACGGATGAATAAGTAGTCTTGCAGTACTGGAGTCAGAAGGACTGACGAAACCTCTGCCTGTGCCTGAACACCTGCCAACCATAGTGATCTGTGAATCCATCTCCCTTTCCCCTGTTTTGACCTAATTCTTTTTTCCTTCATCGTTCCCCTAGTCTAATGCCATGGAGGGATGTTATCTGGCTAGGAGCCAATGGACAAGACGAGAAACCCTTAAGGGTTACGATTGATCCCCAGTTATATAATGAGAGACACTGAATAGAAGACATATATATACATATATATATGTGCTTGTGTTTTGCTCATGCACCTAATTTGATCTTCTTGTGGAACCAATATTATGCGCTTCTTTTATCCATCTGAGCTACAATAAATTACTTCAGGGTTGGGTTTTTTTTTGCAAGCTGGACTAAATTTTTTCTGAGGCACTTTTGTCTGGTTCAAATTCACATTTCTCCCTTTCCTGCTAGGATGTGGAATCCTGACTCTCACTATCTCCCACCTCCCTGGTTGCCACAAGCCTTCCTTAATGTACCAGCCCTCTGCTCTCCATGAGACACGGGCATCCTCATTTGGCTTTCTTGGGCAGTCTGAGACCTACAATACCACCCCAGATTCATCTCTCAGCCTGTAGTTTTTCACCTCTCCTACAATAAACCAACGCACAAGTGAAAACACTACAAGCAGTGGGATAGAGTCACGGTCAACAGCTTGATATCTGAGTGGAGACCAGTGACGAGTGGCATTCCTCAAGGGTCAGTATTGGGACTGGTGCTGTTTAACATCTTTGTCGGCGACATGGACAGTGGGATTGAGTGCACCCTCAGCAAGTTTGCCGATGACACCAAGCTGTGCGGTGCGGGTGACACGCTGGAGGGAAGGGAGGCCATCCAGAGGGACCTTGACAGGCTGGAGAGGCGGGCCCAAGCAAATCTCATGAAGCTCAACAAGGCCAAGTGCAAGGTCCTGCACCTGGGTTGGGGCAATCCCAAGCAGAAATACAGGCTGGGCAATGAGTGGATCAAGAATAGCCCTGTGGAGGACTTGGGGGTGCTGGTGGATGAAAAATTGAATGAGCCAGCAATGTGCGCTCACAGCCCAGAAAGCAAATCGCACCCCAGGCTGCATCAAAAGAAGCGTGGCCAGCAGGTCGAGGGAGGTGATTCTCCCCCTCTGCCCTGCTCTGGTAAGACCCCACCTGCAGTGCTGCATCCAGCTCTGGGGCCTCCAGCACAAGAAAGACATGGACCTGCTTGAGCAGGTCCAGAGGAGGGGCACGAAGATGACCAGGTGGCTGGGGGACCTGTGAGGACAGGCTAAGACAGTTGGGATTGTTCAGCCTGGAGAAGAGAAGGCTCCAGGGAGACCTTACAACAACCTTCCAGTACTTAAAGGGGGCCTACAGGAAAGATGGGGAGGGACCCTTTATCAGGGAGGGTAGTGATAGGATGAGGGGTAATGGTTTCAAACAGGAAGGGGGTAGATTTAGATTAGATATGAGGAAGTTCTTCAGTGTGAGGGTGGTGAGACACTGGAACAGGTTGCCCAGAGAAGCTGTGGATGCCCCTTCCCTGGCAGTGTTCAAGGCCAGGTTGGATGGGGCTTTGAGCAACCTGATCTAGTGGAAGGTGTCCCTGCCCATGGCAGGAGAGTTGGAACTAGATGGTCTTTAAGGTCCCTTCCAACCCAAACCATTCTATGATTCTATGATAATTCAGCACTGATTTTGTCAGGAAGGCAGTTCAGGATACCAATAGCTTCTGGAAATCAGAGCCTGAAGAAGTTGTGAATGTCGATCTAGAAGGTAAGTTTGGGAAGGGTGTGACAAAGTCATTTCCTAGGAGAACAAACCAGCCTTGGACTGAGCAATAACACAGAGTGCAGAGAACAGAAACTTCTGAGAAAGCCACTGAAAATGCTTCTCACCAAAAAGACACTTTGTTGTCTCAAGGAGATGGGAGCAGGGGGTGAAAAGGCCAGGAAATTTAGGATGGAAGTAAAAGCATGTTGCAGAGATGCCAGAATGTCCCGAAAGAAAAATACTGTTAAAATGTCTACACAAAAGTCTTGCATTTATAGAAGTTATTCTGTGGTCTGCTAGTGGCAGGTCAAAAAGGCCTTGAGGTACTACAGCTGTCACTGGCTGTGGTCCACGTTTGTTTGTCTGTGCTGGGCTTGCTGGGGAGAGGCAGACGGGCAGTGGGCTGTGGGAAGGGCTCCCTATGGCAGAGACTCCCCCCCTGCACAGGACACCCAGTGCTAGAAGCGGCGGTTTCTCTGCAGCAGTCACACCAGCATCACACCATTATTGACAGAGAAAAGGCAGGTGGCAACAACAGCAAAGGCAACACCTGTGAACAGGGGGAAAACTTCCCCCCCACAACCCCATCTCTCCCTTGGAGTGGGGACGCAGCCCCAGACAGCTGTGGCACCAGGTGTGGGCCACCACTGGTGTCATGCCTGCTCCTCCACCATCGTCCTCACACAAACAGGAGTGATGAAGGCCCATGCTAACGCTATTTTCCTCCTCATAGCTTGTTCTTGTACACACAAAACTACATTAAGTTGGAAAAGCCTTAGTCCATATCCCGGTGCATGCAGTCACTCCTCCTGCTCCTGTCCTGTCCCTGAAATGCCAGTGTACCTTGGGATCCGGTTGAGGCCCATCAGTCTGCTAAACAAGGCATCATGAGGCCTTAAGGAAAGGTCAGTTGTATGGGAGTTGTATGAGGGAAAATGAGCACAGGGTGGTCAACATAACGATCTTGACAAAGTGCTTGGCATAGTTCCCTCAACCAAACCCAACCCCTGCTCCTGCAGTCCAGACCCTTCTTCTTAAATAACTGCTCGAGTACCCAAGTCTGCTCCTCTTTCCACTCACACAGGTGTCCAGAGCAGAGGGATTATCCTGTACCACCTGATCCCCAGGTGGGACAAAGCAGCATGCTAGGTGAACATCCATCATGAGCTCTTCTGGCACTGCAGCCATCTCCAGCAGTTCAGATGCTCACCTGAAGCTCTGGCAGCTGAACCAACCACATCTGTACCTAAAAACACAAGCCTTGACTTTTTCAGCAAGAGGATCAGCCTGACAAAAAAAAAGACTAAGCTAATAGGGCCTATCTGGCCTGTCCGTGATGAAATGCATAGGTAGCAGAGAATGCCTGCGCTGGTGGCTCGAAGAGCACAGAGGTGCCTGTGCTACCTGACACCGCTGCCGAGAGCTACTGAAGCCAGGAGGCAGTGTGCCTGCCCCAGCACAGCGCTCATCTCATGCTAGCAGGTGGCAGTGCAGTCTCTAAGCCAGGCTGGTCCTCTCACAGGGCAAGGAGTGGCACCATGTGGATGTGCAACCCTTAGCTCAGCACCCCCAGTTCTGCTCTCTTCCAAGGGCTGGAAGAGGCATGCTGAGTCCCCACAAGTGACCAAAGGCTGTGTCCCCATTCACAGCTGGGACCGACCTGCAAAGCGTGGTCAGGCTCACAGCTCTGCCATCAATGCAGAAGATCCCTTCACCCATTTCCAGGTGGCCTGGCTGGCATTACAGTGGACATGATGGTGCCACTGGGGTGCCTGTAAGTGCACAGCTGCATCCCCAGATCCACAGCTTCCAGTTGTCCCATTTGGATGGGAGTAACAAAAATGATAAGCCTTCCTCAACACTGCATGTTTCCTCAGTAGGTCTCCTGATCTCAGCAGTCATGACCCTGCTCTACTCTATTTGAAACTCACCTACAAGCA